GGACATCATGCTTGGGAGGGTGGAGGGACGGCGTAGGAGGGGAAGACCCTCTATGAGGTGGATTGATTCAGTGACTGGGGTGATCGGGATGGGTGTGTCAGAGGCAGTGCGATTGGCACAGGATAGAGCAGGGTTTAGGGCTGTTGTACGACTCGACGGCACATAACAACAACAACAACAATGTGATTATGTTTTGCTGGCTTTAAAGTTCTTTTACTCTTAATAGGTTTGTCTGTGTGTGTTTGTGGGGAGGTTTCATTTTCACTTTTCAGTCCCATGTAGCTGAACAAAATCTTATACCATTACAGAGAACTTTTGAAGTCAACAAATCCACAAAACAGGATTATAAGAATTCAACTAATTTGTTTAGGGTCATAAAGCTAGTCAGTATACCTCTGTTATTTAATCTTGTTTCATATTCTAGAAAATTAAGTAAAGAAAGGATCATTTTCTCACACCCCATATAAACTGAGCATATAAGTCTATCCTCAGTTTACTATATTCTAGGCACTGCTGAAAGAGCTTTACATATAATATTTCAATTAATATCCATTCCAGCCATATGAAGTATATATTATCATCATCATCATCATCATCATCATCAATGTACAGAATATTGAGGCACAGAGGACAAAATCATTTGCACAAATCACACAGCTGGTAGGTCTATGTCATAGGATTTCCCATAGCAAGTTTCTTTTGGTATTTCAGTTAATACAATAGTGACATATCCAAGATGAACTTGTTTAACACTGAATTCCATCCATATCAGCCAGCTGTTCTATGAGATTCAAGCCCAGATAAAGTTACAAACTCAGATAATTCTTTCCTAAAGTGTCTAACAATAATGGAACTTCATTTTAGAAAAACTATAAGATGACTTGATGCCAGTTTTCCCGTTCTAAGTGATATGGCTTAACATATATGTTTCTTTGCAGAGTGATGTGTGGTCTGTGGGAATCACTGCTATTGAGATGGCCGAAGGAGCTCCTCGTGAGTAAAAAGTGTTTTATGTTTAGGTTTATATTTTATATATACATATATTTTTATATATTTATATGTAAGTTTTATATTTAGGTTAGGGAAACATGATGTATAAATCTATCATTGTGGAAAAAGATGAATTGATGCTTTTATTTTTCAGATTTGATCAACCACACAGGTACTATATTACATGTCAAACTATAAATAAGTACTTTCTTAGTATTGAACCATATGTTCTTATCTGAATGCCCAGATTTTTTATGTATATATGTTCACATATGTCTATTATTATCATTATACATGTTTGTAGGTGACACACATGTTGTATGTGCTTTTTTCTATGTACATTATTGTAGACTGACATAATGCTGTTTCAATATATCCTCAGTAATATTTGATCATGACCATCCTAAACCAACCAGATTCCAAAGAATTTAGGCCCTGGAGCATTTAGGTTCTTAGAGTCACATTATACTATTTCTTCAGATTCTCTGTGATAACTTAGAAAAATATCAAGTGCTAAATAGAAATTGGTCCAGTATTCTGCAATTTTGGGAAACAAAATTTTTCCCTGCCCCCAGGATTAATCCAGCTCTTCTTTGGTTCCTTTTTGGCACCTTTCATTTACCCTAAATACCCAGCCACTCAGAATGCTCCATTTTACTGCCTCAGAAATGATCATTTCCCCACGTCCTCAGTCTTTAAATGGCCTATCAGCATTCTTACCAGCCATAGTCCCTAGTTAGGAAAGTGAAAATAAGATGTGAACAGTCAAGGAGAGCATAGTTATTATATTCAATATCTAAATACAAAGTATAAATGACAAACACATTTTTTTATATTACTGAATAAAAAGTAAGAGACTCCTGGGTATATTTGTGGAAAAACTGCTTTACAATCAGACCTAATACATTCCTATGTTACTGAATGTTCCATTTGTAAAATGTACACACACCAAGGTCTGTATGCTTGAACTATATTAGCAATGTGTTTCAAGACCTATGGGAAGAATTTCAAGGAGTAGAAATAATGGTCACATAACTGACAATTCTTAGTATTCCTTGAAGTATCACATATAGATTAATATAAAGCTAGGACAGCTGTGGAGAACAGATTACTGATGTCTCTATTATAGTGAGTAAAGTTTTTAAGGCTACATTGTGTACAATATACATAAATAGAATATGTAAACTGGGGAGATGTTCACTGTTCCTCATCATCCCCTAATTACTTTATATATTTACATTATATTAAATTTATCTCTCTATATGTATTCTTCTGTCTGTCTCTGCCTTGTCTTAACATATATAGGATTTTTACACACTGGCTTTGAAGTATAAACTTAGGATGCATGACTACCGATTAGTTTATTTTTTCCCCATTGTTTCTGAGAGTGTTTGTTCTTTTCTCTTTTCAAACTGACAGATGTCTGCACTTCACAGGTTTGCATTTCTTGGTTCATCTTGCTGTTGTCCTTGTTGTTTTCATTCTAGAATATTAAGTCTGGGGAGAGGGGGAATGATGAGCAAAGAAGGAATTTGGCACAGAGTATTCGTTGAGTAAGCTTTCTGCCTTAGGTGAAAAACAAGAGATTCTGAATTCAGAGGAGAGAAAATAGGGCCCACTTGCTTGTTGTTGTTATATGCTGCTGAGTTGCCTGAGACCCATAGCGACCCTATGTACAGCACCTCTGAAGCCTGCCCTGTCCTGAGTGAGTCTCACTAATTCCAACACACCAACCCCCATTGCCCCAGTCACTGTATCAATACATCTCATCCGGGGTCTTCCTCTCCTGCACCGTCCCTCCACCCTTCTGAGCATGATGTGCTTCTCCAAAGACTGGTCTCTCCTGGCTACCTGCCCAAAGTATGTGAGACAAAGCTTCAAAATCCTAGCCTCCAAGGGGAAACTTGGTTTCACCCTCTCAAAGACAGACCCTTTTCCAGCACCACAATTTGAAGGCATCAATTCTTCTGTAATCCTTAGTCATTGTCCAGCTCTCTGATGCATAGCAAGTAAATGCAAGGACCATGGCCTGTATCAGGAGCACCTCAATCTCTAGACTGAGACATCATTGCTCTTTGGTACTCTGAAGAGGTCTCTGACAGCAGACCTTCCCAGTGCAATTAGCCTTTTGATTTCCTGGCTGATTGAGTGTTGATTGTAGACCCACGCAAACTGAAGCTGTTAACAATCTCAATCTCTTCACCGTCTATCATGATGCTGACAGTCAGCCCAGTGGTGAGAATCTTTGTCTTCTTGGTATTGAGCTTCAATCCATATTGAAGATTACAATCCTTAACAAGGTTCAATTAAATCTAGACCATATTTTTGCTCTATTTTAGCATTGACTTTACTACTGTAGAGATTATTTCTAATATATTTTGTCAGCAGTTCTTATTTATAGTAATACTTATATTGTCTATAGTAGCTCTCTTTCCTATCAATGTCAATCTTTACAAGAGAAGCTCATGATTCATATTCGCTCCTATCTAATCAAGAGACTAATTTTTTCCACTATTCAGAGGATTCCCTCAGATTTTAGTGTATTTAGAAGTAAACTACATTAAACTCATTATAAGTCCAGTGTGTTATATCAGACCCCCCACAATATTATTTTTGTAAAAGAAATTTACTATCTCAAATAAATGAGCCTCTTCTTGTTGTTGTTAGATTCCGTTGAGTTGAGTATGACTCATAGCAACCCTATGAACAAAAGATCTGAACCCTGTTCTATACTGTGCCATCCTCACACTTCCTAACACACTTCCTAACTGCTCATTGGAGCAGTCACCGTGTCAGTCCACCTGGTTGAGGGTCTTCTCTCCTTCGCCACACCTCCACCCTTCCCAGCATCATGTTCTACTCCAAGAAATAGCACTTCCTAGCAACATGTCCAAAAGATGAGACTAGGCCTCATAATTCTTGCCTCCAAAGAGCACCCCATTTGCACCCTCTCCAAGACATAGCTGTTCTCTTGGCCATCCATGTCTTCTCTAACACATAGCTCAAAGACTTCAATTCTTTTCTTGTCATCCTTACTCATTGTCTAGCTCTTGGATGCATAGCTAGTAATTAGAAAAACTGGCCTGGATCAGATATACTTTAGTCTTCAAATTGACATCATTATTCTAATAATTTGAAAGGTTCCTAACTATAGATTTTCCCAGTGCAATGCATCTCCTTATTTCCTGTCTGCTGGTACCAAGGGTATTAATTGTGGGTCCAAAAAAGATGAAGCAGTTGACAGTTTCAATCTCTCCATCCATCATGATGCTCCATGTCAGTTCAGTGCTAAGAATCTTTGTTTTCCTGAAATTGAGAAGCAATCCATACTGAAGGCTGCATTCCTTGATCTTCTGCAACAAGTTCTTCAAGCCCTCCTCATTTTCAGCCAGCAAGGTTGTGTCATCTGCATAACGCAGGTTATTGATGAGTCTATCGCCAATCCTAATGCCACACTCCTCCTCATAGAGTCCAGCATCTCAAACATAACTGCTTAGAATATGGATGCAATAGGTATGGAGAGAGAATACAAGCCTGGAACACTCCCTTCCCAATTCCAAACCATGTAGTGTTCCCTTGCTCTGTTTGCACAACAACCTCCTGATCCAGGTATGTTGTTGTTGCTGTTGTTATGTGCCGTCGGGTCGTTTGCGGCTCATAGCGACCCTATGTACAACAGCCCTAAACCCTGCTCTATCCTGTGCCAATCGCATTGCCTCTGACACACCCATCCAGATTACCCCAGTCACTGAATCAATCCACCTCATAGAGGGTCTTCCCCTCCTGCGCTGTCCCTCTACTCTACCCAGCATGATGTCCCTCTCCAAAGACCTGTCTCTCCTTGCAGCATGTGCAAAGTATGTCAGACGAAGCCCCAGAATTTTGCCTCCAAGGAGTAGCCTGGTTTAACCCTCTCTAGGTTGAATTTGTTTGTTTTCTTGGCAGTCCATGGTACATTCAATACTCTTCTCCAACACCACAGCTCAAAGGCATCAATTCTCCTTCTATCCTCCTTGGTCATTGTCCAACTCTCTGATGCATAACAAGTGATTGCGAAGACCATGGCCTGTATCAGGTGCACCTTAGTCTCCAGAGAGACACCGTTGCTCTTGAGTACTTTAGAGAGGTCCCTAACAGCAGACTTTCCCATCGCAATACATTTTTTGATTTCCTGGCTGCTGGTGCCAAGAGTGTTGACTGTGGAGCCGAGCAAACTGAAGCTGTGAACAATCTCAATCTCTTCGTCATCCATCCTGATGCTACCAGTATGTGAAAACTAGAATGAAATATCAATAATTTGGCAAATTTGAAACTCCAGATAATGAAAATATTTGTTGAAATATCAATAGTTATTGCTTATTAACTACCTACTATGTGCTTGACACATTTACATGTATATTGCCACTTAATATCCACAGCAATCATATGAAAGAATTCTTGACATTTTTTTTACATATTTTTCAGATGAAGGAACATACATAAGAAAAGCATACATACGTTAAGTAATTTGCCCTAAATCATATAGAAAAAACTCAGGACTTGAATCTACCTGAAACTCATCCAAAAGAGACTTGTACGACAAGCTAGAAGTCTGCTTCCAAAAGCAGACTCTGTTTAGCAATTCTACTCTGCACACATGTGATCTTATGAGTTGAAATCTATTTTATTGCATCTAACTTTAGCCTTCCTCTAAAAGGCTTGCTTTTAGTTGCACGAGATTTACTTTTTCCCCCTAGAAATATCTTGATTGAACATAGATGCTTCTCAATTTTTTAAGAGTTATTCTTTATATCACCACTCACTTTTATATAATTATTCAAATACATTGTTTCATGAGGTACATTTTGTTTTATATCATTATCTCTGTACATTGTGTTTTATATAATTAATTACTCTTGACCTATTACTTTTACCTCTCCATCTCTTCTAGTCCCCCTTGCACCTTACCCATAGTTTCGCCCTGTCCCCCCACTAATATCTGCTGTCCTAGTGATTTCCTTTTCCTTCTTCCAACTCACTTCTCAAGTCTAGACAGCATTATGTTGAGTGAAATAACTCAGTCACTAAAGGACATAATACTGTGTACTGTGACAATAGGAAGATAACTAAAGGTTGGGAGAGGGAGAGGAGAAAAATAAAAATGTAATCAGTAGACCAAGAACACAAGGACCAAGATAAGG